AGCAAAGCACTTTTAAAGCGCCATCTTACTTTCACTCTCCACACCAGCAAAAAACAAAAGAAAAAGAAATTAACATGAACTAAAAGAGAAATAAAACACTACACTCCAAATAAAATCCTTTAAACAGCTCTGTCCGCTTTAAAAGTCACTCACCAGAACACTTTAAGCACGGAGATGGTAGCGGCGTTTCACTTTGTTTCTGAAGAAACAAAAACAGCTGGGAGGCGGAGAAAGCACGAACTCCGAGGGAACACTCATTCTACCCCCCCAAAAAAAAAATCTAGGGGGGGTTAAGAGGTTCTACCTCTATTCGTGTAGTCTCTACCCCTTCCCTTCGCCCGGGAAGGGGATTTCAAGCCGTGGGCCAGCTGATGTCCGCTGCGCTCCGCAGATCTAACGCCGTCCCAGGAGGACGGCTACAAAGTAGCCGCCATCATCGTCGCTGATCACCGGAAGCTCCCGAGAGCTTTTTACTTTATCACAACTGATTCATTCGGTTTTAGATTTGTTACAGATTATAACTCAGTATGGGCAAGTCTCTGGTTTTAAGGTTAATAATAATAAGACTAAAATATTATCCAAAAATATGTCTATTAAGGATAAGGAAATGTTAGTTAACTTGACAGGTTTTGATATACTTTAAAAGGTTAAATATTTGGGAGTATATATAACAGCTTCTAATGTAAAATTGTATAAAAATAATTATGAAACATTATGGACTAAAGTGCAGAAGGATCTGAATGATTGGAAAAAATTACAATTATCTTTGTTAGGGAGAATTTCTGCTGTTAAGATGAATGTTCTACCAAAATTTCTTTTTCTATTTCAGATGATACCTATTTTAAAGAAAGATGTCAATTTAGATGAATGGCAGAAGGGTATTAATAAATTTATTTGGTAGGGAAAAAACCAAGAGTTAAGCTTAAGATTATACAAGATGTACGAGAAAGAGGAGGACTTAAGATGCCTAATTTGAAATTGTATTATGATGCTGCGGCCTTAACATTGATTAGCGATTGGATTAACTTAACAAATCAAAATATACTTTTTTTGGAGGGATGGGATTTATTATATGGATGGCATACATATTTAATTTATAATAAGAAATTAGATAGGGCTTTTAAATCGCATATTTTAAGAACTGCTTTATTGTGTGTCTGGAAGAAATATTATTATAGATTAAATTATAATGCCAATTTGAGGGATTCCTGGACACGCAGTAGAGGGGATATTGAAAGGTGTGAAGTTGGATAGGACTTCTTATAACCAATTGCTTAAATTGGAAGGGAAGGATTGGCAGTTAAAATCATTAGATGAATTAAGGCAAGATAATATTGTTTACTCTTGGTTTCAGTATAGACAATTGTTAGATAGATGGAGTTTAGACCAAAAAGTTGGTATTACTTTAGAAGATGAGAATTTGATAAAACAAATTAGAGATCAAATTCGAGCTCATATAAAAAGAGTTTATAATGTATTAGTGGAATTGGATTCAGAGATGGAATTAGTCAAAGATTGTAGATAAAATGGGCCCAAAATTTTCAAGAGCCGATTTTATTAGATACATGGGAGGCAATTTGGGTTGGGAATGTGAAGTTTACTCAGGCTCAAAATTTACGACAAAATTTTTATAAAATGTTTTATAGGTGGCATTTGGATCCACAAAAATTGTCTCGTATGTATCCTAATTTACAGCCTAAGTGTTGGAGATGTGGTTGCTTAGATGCAACCTATTATCATATTTGGTGGACGTGTAGAAATATAAAAGCTTTTTGGATTAAGATTTGGTGGAACATTCAGAAGATTTTTAATAGAAAGATAAAGTTTACAGCACAATTGTTTTTGTTAGGTATTGTTGAAGATTGTGATGTTAAAGAAACTATTTTAATGTTGAATCTTATTATGGCGGCAAGGTTATTGGTTGGGCAATATTGGAGGAAAGATTCTTTGCCTACCATAGAAGAAGGGTCGGTTAAAGTTGCTAATTTAGCAGAAATGGCCAAAATTTCTGCCGATTTGAAGGATCATTCACAAGAAAGATACATCTTGGTGTGGAGAAGATGGATAAATTTTGTACAGAATAAATATGGGATTAGAAAGTATCATTTAGTTTTTGATTAAGTTATAGTTTAAATTGGGATTTGTTTGTATTTGAGTTAAAGTATTTTAGGGATTTGGTTATTGGTATAGTTGGATAAGCTTAGTTAGAATTTGTTTGCTTATTTTTAACCCTGTAATCAGCTCTGGGAAGTGAGGGGGGGAGGGTTGGGGTGGGGGGAAGGGAGGGAGGGTTATTGTATTTTAATAATAAATTTGTATAAAACTTTTCAATTAAAAAAAAAATAATGAATGGTTCTTAAGCCATAAGAACTTGTGCACAATGAATGACGAACTGCCATGGGTGGGGGGAAAGCTCTATGTCCCAAAAGCCCAGAGACTAAACTTCATGCACTCTTGTCATGATTCCAAAGTAGCTGGACACTTCGGGTTCATGAAAATCTTTCACCTAGTGAAATGGCAGTTTTGGTGACCCTCCATAAAAAAGGATATTGAAAGCTACATGACCAGTTGTCTGGTTTGTGCAGCGATCAAACAGGATGTCAGAATCCAATTATATTTCATCTCTAGTTATCGACTATGGAAAACCCCATTTCTACCCTCTCTGGATTCTGTCATACGATGACGGGAAGGGGGGGGTGAACAAAGGGGTTTTATGGCCCTCACTTCCTTTGGTACAACTTCAAAGGGACTGAATGTGGATACCACCAAAAGGACTAAGCATAACAATGGGGCCATCAGCTTTCATCTACTCCTCTTTGAAGTCTCCCTTCCACAGGTAGTGAGGAAAAAGGGGGTGGAAATGTAATGCCTGGGATTGTCGCTGGAAAGATGGTGGGGTGGGGTGGGGCTGCTGGGGACCCCTTAAAACCTTGAACCGTAGGGCTTGGGCCCCAGGTCCTGTCTAATGTAAGGACCCACCCCACTTTGCATCTTAAAAAGACAGAACGCCTGCAACCATTTTCTCTTAATAAAGATGCCTGTTGGAAGAAATATTCCAAGAGTTCTGTCTTCTTAAGATACAAAGTGGGGTGGGTCCTTACACGGAGACTAGGAAAGACTCCAGGATTGTTGCAGACGGTGGCAACCCTGTCAGCACCTTGGAGGGAGATTTCTATGGATTTTATTGTGGAATTACCAGATACTGGGGGAAAACATTGTCATTTGGGTAGTGACAGATCTGTTCTCTAAGCAAGTGCATTTCATCCCGTGTCAAAAAAATCCCCACAGCAAAGACACTAGCAAAGCTGTTTGTGCAACACATATACTGACTGCATGGAGCCCCACAATGAATCACATCAGATGGGGGTGCAGTTTACTTCTGAGTTCTGAAAGGCTTTCCTGGACCTTTTAGGAACCACTCAAGGGCTGTCATCTAATCGACATCTGCAAACAAATGTTGGGTCAGAACGTTTGAACTCAGTACTGGAACAATATTTAAGATGTTTTATAAATAACCATCGAGACAACTGGACTGACCTGCTTCCCTTTGCAGAAGTTGCGTATCATAATGCCGTTCACTCTAGCACCAGGTATATCAAGTTGCAACAGGACAAAGGTTCTACCCGATGCCTGAACTGCCAACTAACGAACCCACCATCCCCTCTCTGAAGAAATGGATTGCACAACTCCAAAATACCTGGCTGGTTGTAAGAAAAGCATTAGATGAGGCTAGAGAGGCTTACAAGACTCAGGCAGAACCAAAACCTTTCCAAGTAGGGGATAATGTATACCTGTCCACCAAGTATTTAAAATCTCTGCAACCGTCAAAGATGTTGGGACCAAAATTTGTGGGTCCTTTTCCCATTAAGTGGATAATTAATCAGGTAACTGTAGAACTGGAACTCCCCAAAACACTAAGGCAGATTCCCCCTATATTTCACTGTAATCTATTGAAACGAGAATTAAGCTCGCCGTTAAGGCCAGCTGTAGTCCCTCGTCCTCCTCCAATCATGATAGGAGAGGAGCATTTTGAAGTCAAAGAAATCCTAGACTCTAGAAAATATCATGGTTCCACACAATATCTAATAGCTTGGAAGGACCTACCTCCTTCCCAAAATGAGTGGGTCCATAAGCGACATGTTAGGGCTCCGAGACTACTTAATAAATTTCATGCTAAATACCCTGACAAACTGGACTAACCAATATGTGCTTTCTCTCCCAATTTTGTTTCCTCTACAGGTGGATCTCTCATTTTTTTAAGGGGGGGGTGGCATGTCAGAACCCGGTTATTGGGAGGGGGTGATTTTTTTATTCTTGTGGGTTCTGCCATAATCCTGGGGGGGGAGCTATGGGCACTACAATGTATCCTCTCTGCTTTCCTCGATCAGCTTGCTCTTTGATCTGTTTCCCTTGATGCTTGCGTGAGGTGAGAATGAAATGTGCCTCTGGCCATCTGCCTTATCTCTAGCTGCGGAAGAAGAGGCATGAAGACCTAACAGCCTAATAGCCTTGGGAACAGCGCCTTATCAACCCTGTTCCCACAGTGGATTCATACCTGGGATTGGGCCATTTGACCTGGGCAGATTGACTGTTGGGGTAGGGCTTGCCAGTTACGCTTTTAACCTATTGATTTGTGCAGGAAACCCTCCAATCCTGTCTTCTATGCCTGCTGTCAACTTCTCCTAATAAAAGTTCCTTTTGGAATGAAGCTGTTCCAGGAGTTCTGCTTTCTTGGGAAGATAGATTGAGGCAGGTCCTTACAAAAGGATACTATGGTACTTAAGACCGCTGAGAGTTGAAGGAGAACAAAATGGATGTATTACTACATCCCACCCTCTCCAAAGGTCATTCTCAAGTGCAACCAGTAACTCATACCCTGGTCTGCAACCCAATTAGAAGAAGTCTATAAACTTCTGGATGGGTTGAAATCTGCTAAATATTATTATTGCTTTCATTAAGCAGCATTAACAAGTATGTTAAAAAAACAATACATTCTCAACCTTTCAGCAGCACCATGAGGAGAAGTAGCCCGAGCCTGCTGGATATCCTCCTCCAAGCGTCTTTTTTCCTCCTCAATGTGTTCCAGGTCTTCTGGTGAACGCTGTTGCTGACTTATAAGCTGAAGTTCTTGTAAGAGAGCCTCTTTTTCTTTAATAAGCTGAAGATGATCTCTATCAGCCTCCACCATTCCTGGCCAAGATTTATGGTCTTGTAAAGCCAACTGTTGCTGGATTCTGAAAATTCTTAATTACAAAGGAATATGAAAAGTTAATATACCAACAAGAAACACCTCCCCTCCAAATCTCTACAAAGATGTATGTTTTTGATATGGAAGTAATTAGTTAAAGTACCTTGAGACGAAAATAATATCTGTATATAACATAAATAGTTATAAAATCTATAGTAAATTTGACTCGCATAAACTTTCAATATAGTTAAAAGGTGTAGAGGTATCTTTGGAATTTGATGTCTTCTTAAACAGATCAATATAACTACCTCTGGAATGCTTTTTATTCTGAATTTCCACTTGTTTTTTTTTTTAAAAAAAACTCCAAAGATTTTGCCAGGGTGCAAATGTAAAAAGTGCAACTTAAAATTTTGATATTGTGACTGGACCAAGGCAGTAGCAGGAAAAACAGGAAGGAGGGTTTCTGAACATGCTGGCAATAACGTGCAAGCATGCTATGGGAAAGAAATCTGCTGCACAATGTTCTTTGCTAGGCATTAAACAGTGCCAGTTCTTCTACCATTTAAAAAGAAAATTCTGTGTCACAAATGGCCAACTAGATTAAGATTAAGTTGGAAATGTTATTAAAATTGTAAATAGCAGCACATAATTTGAGAGGGAGGGAGATATTAAAATGTTGAAAGGGCTAAGAATGAGTATGGACAGATATAAACACTAAGAATTTTTCATATATGAATATATCTGTCTGTGTTTAATTTTCTTTCAAAGAAGCAATAACAACACAACGGTTATTTGTAGTATTATTCAGTTTCAAATCAAAAGCTTTTTAATGTATAGCTTTTTTCTGTCTTAGATATTTTACCATTGGCATTATTATGATCTACAAAAAAGCTCTCATATTTTATTTCCATTTTTTAATTAAGATGAGGTATAATTTTTAGATTTCATTTACTTTCTGAAATGGATAACAAAGCATCCTTATATTTTGAGTCTACCACATTAAGTAGGTTCTTCAGTGAAAAGTATTCACAGACAAAAATTTTGTATAAGAACCTGCCAACTGAAATGGTAACATTATGTATTTGATTCTCTCGCACTTTAGCTATATGAAGAGCCTGATTAAAATATTTTAAATATATTGTAACATTTTAATTTTGTCAACTTCAATTTTAGACCAAACACAGCACATTCCACGCTCACACTGTATAACTTTAGTAGAATTTCATGAGCAAAGTTAGTCTGAACACAGAAACACTTTGTGGAGACAAAAGCTGTGCAGAATGCCAATCAGCTAACAGAAAGGAATGCATGACAAATGGACTTCCGGTTCCTGCATGCAGCGAAGCAGTTGAGACACTCGGAACTCTGAGCTCTCCAGCTGCGTTTCTTTCTGTTAGGGGCCCTAAATGGGCCAGAAGCCGCCTTAGAGAGGTAGCAATGAAGGAAGGAAATCCCAGGGACCTAGGAGAGATGGCAGTCAACCAGATCGGTCCAGGAGAAGCCTTCCAGAAACAAACAGGAGAAAGGCTGGCTTAACTTCAGAGTCCAGCCCTAGCTGCAAGCAATGGAAGTCAAAAGCACTAATTTAAGCTGATTGTAAACAGTGGACTTGAATCTGGGTAAGAATCATTGATTTTCTCTATCCTACCTACTTTCCTGAAGGGGAGAAACTCCCAAGAAGCAAAAAAAAAAAAATCCTCCGAAAGTGAAGAAAAGGGGGTTGCCCCCACCCTTTTCCTACTGGAAGTGGCGAATTTTAACCTTTCACGGAGGAATAATCTGAAAAATGAACCAGTGATGACACCTACTGGTGGAAGAGGATTATGACAGTCAAGGTAAAAACGAGAAAAATTAATCTTGCCTGTGACCTACAGCTGTGTAGATAAAGTGAGACTTTTGTTCCTGGGAGAACAAAAATAGAACAATAACAACAACAAAAAAGAACTTTGTCCTCTGGACTATAAGTATTTATCCAATTCTGACTCCAAAACTATTTCCAAAGCAGGGAAAAAAATCTGGACTTTTGGTCATCATGGAAAACCAGAGATTTATAGGAAATACTTATCAAGAAAAAATTAATATTTTTCAAGAGATATATGTAAAGCTGCAACTAATTCAAAGAACAATGATCTCAAATCACAAAGAAATTCAGAATAACTTTAAAAATATAAGTCAACTTATCTCCAATTTAAGCTTATATCAAAAAAGCCCTCAGCAAAATACAGCAAGGAAGGAACAGACAAAACAGATGACTGAACATAAATTCAGGGATAGAGATTTGAAGATGGAATTCTACAAAACAAAGGAGTATGATCCAATCCAAGTGGGAAAAAATTTACAAGAAATATTAGATTTTTCAACACTACAAAATAAATTTGAGGACAAGAAAAAAGACTGGATAAAACATTCTACAGAAATATCAGGAAAAACACAAGAACTACAGAGACAAAAAGCGACAAGAGAGCCAGAGAGAAAGAGAAGGGAAAAGATTCCTAATAAAAAGCAGTGGGCAAATGCCTCTAACAAAGATACTGACTTACTTTTTATATCTACAGCAACATTTATGAACGTACAGAAAAAGCTTTTGATTCAGCTAAATACACAGATTAAGAAAGATATTGGGCAAAGGAAAAAGATTAAGATGGAAACCAAGAAAATAGATGATGGGACCTATCAGAGAGAATACTTAAAAAAGAAACATTTGTTTGAATATGGTTAAAGAAATAGGAAAACTTTGGAATATATTATTTTAAGAGGGATGAATTTTCTAAACAACATAGCATGCTTTTTTTCTTTTGTGTTCTTCTTGCTATCAGTAACAAAAAGTTGAAATGATTTAAATAAAGGAAATGTTTTAAATACTTAAATGTGACTGAATCTAAGAAAATTAAAAAAATGTAAGAATTAAAGAACTAGATGACTAGATGTATTGAATGGAATGTTTAAAGATTAAATATATTCTTAATTATGGTTAAAAAGAATAAGAAATTAAGGAAATCAGGAGAGAGGAGGAATGTAGCTGAGGCCCTGCTGATTGGACCTCCATTGTATTTAAACTTCCCAGAGCTTGCTGAGAATTGCGACAAACTGTGAGTTGAAAAGGAGAAGGTGGGAGGAGGAAAGTAACTGAGACCCTGCTGATTGGACCTCCATTGCATTTAAACTGCCCAGGGCTTGCTGGGAATTGCTACAAGCTGTGAGTTGAAAAGGAGAAGGTGGGAGGAGAAAAGTAGCTGAGGCTCTGCTGATTGGACCGCCATTGCATTTAAACTGCCCAGAGCTTGCTGGGAATTGCTACAAACTGTGAGTTGAAAAGGAGAAGGTGGCAGGAGGAAAGTAGCGGCCCGCGCGCCTAATGGCACGTGAATCATATAACTAAAAATCAAAAACAGCAGCGGTACATTCAGGGCAAGTGCATCTGAGATTCCTTGTATCTCAAAATGTCTGGCTTAGTTTAGTGCAACACTTGTTTTGCAGCTGTCTTTCGCAGTACACTTTTCAAACTTGAAAACTGCCCTATCTGTAAACAAATCACTAGTCTACAAGAACAGAGTATTTATCTAGGGTCCGTAATCTGTGCCCTTCAGGCAGAAATTAGGTGTCCAGTTATGGAAGGGCGGGGCCAGCTGTCAAGAGGAATGGGTATGTTGAACGATTCTCCGGATCGTTTCCCCCCGCTTCCGACTGTTTGATGGACTTTTCGGGGTCCCAGGTTCCTTGGAGGGGGAATGGAAAATAAGAGGTGTCCTGAGGAGCAATCTCTGGCGGCGGCCGTGACCAGCGAACTCAGGAAAAGCCTTGGAAAAGTCGAGCGGAGGAAGGAGACAGCCCATAATGGCGGCTGCAAAGAAATGACAGCTGACTGAAAGATAGCGGCAAAATAGCGGGACAGAGACGTGACAGATCCAGTGAACAGTAATCCTGACAGTAATCCTGATGATTCAGTGGAAGTGATCTGGGGCGAAAGAACCTGCCGGAGATTTCCAAGAAAGGAAGTACAAAGGAGCCCAGAAGAGTGAGAGGAGAGAAAGTCGTTTTCTTTTCTTCTCTCCTGAAATAGTGGTGAGAAAAAAGTTTGGGCATAGAAGGGTTGCAATTGTGGAATTGTACTGGCTGGAGAAACTCAAAGTGAAGAGGAGTTTCTTTTTTCTTTTTCCAAAAAAAAGAGAAGGAAAGTCTATTCACGAGAGGCAAGTGCACTTCAAAGCCATAAAGTGAAAGTGCTGACGAAGCCAAGGAGGTAGACATTTTGAATTAAGACTGAAGGCTGAATACCAGAGATAAAGGCAAGAGAGACACCTGCTGTCTGAACAGAGAACAACTCTAGAAGGGGAAAAAATAAAATAAAGAGGAAATAACAAACCTGTGACTTTAAAGTACACTTAGTTTTGTCTGCGAGTGTAAATTAGATATTTGAGCAAAAACTCTCTGAAAGGAGCTATAGGGAAAAACTATATGAGGCAATTGTGAGTATAGCAAGGGTGACAAATCATATATATTTACTGAACTTTTTGAAATCATTGATATCTATATTAACTAAAAGAATGATTGTTAATTATATATATTGGTAAGTTTATTGTGAATATTGATCTCTGCAAAATATTGGTGACCCAGATTTATAACCTAAATAATTTAATACTAAGCGTCTATCTATGTTTGTTTTAAAATGCTTTAATATTCACTGTTAAGTATATTAATACCTGTATTTAATATATCTAATTGACAACCTATCACTATATACAAAACGTATCATTCTTAGATCTAATTGTGATAACCTTGATATATTGGAGAGAAACATAAAAATTGTAAATAAATGGGGAGGTTGGTTTGAAGAGTTGAGAAAGGTGACAAGTATTCACAATCTCATGAGAGTTGGAATAGGAAGGAAACAGACAACACAAATCATAACAATGGAATCAAGCCCAACTAGGCAAAGATCTCTGGAAGAGGTGACACAAAGAGATAGAGTGAACTCATTTAAAGACCTACAATTAATGCTGCAATCAATGCAAGAGGTAATTTGTAAAAACCATGAAGACCTAAAAAAAGAAACTG